ATATATATATATATGCTTTATAAAGTGCACTAAAGTGCAATAAACTGCACGTGTCCACATAACTACAGCAAAAAAGTTCAACACTTTGTGGACTGGCAGCAGAACTCGGTCCCATCGCCTGCTGCTCACACTGAAGCGCTTCAGATGCTCTTCTTTGTGTTGATGGAGCGCTGGTGCTGGTTGTAACTACGCACCGGCTCCCCGGGGAATTGCAGCTAATTTGAACCGGGAGTTTCATTTTTCGCAAACAGCTGAATAAACATGTCAACACTATCGTGCTGTGGAGGGGCATTCTGGGAAAACCTGTGCTGCCTGGAGAGTGATGTAGAGGTAAAGGAAAGGGTGATTATTATGAGAAACTTTCACTTATACATAATACAGTTTAGTTAGTCATATCTATGCATGTGAACATACATCAGTAACGTTCATATAGACCAGTGGTTCCAAACCTGGATGTCGAGAGCCTCTAAAGACTCCCGAGATAAATCTGAGGAGGTTCACAAGATGATAAAAGACAAAAACATACAATTATTTTTATCCTCAACTAAACTGCTAATCTATAATATTTCAGAAAAAAATAAAAAGGCCCATCCATTTGTGTCTAAATTGACATGTGTTTTTGTCCGACCAACAGTCCAAATCCATTCAGTTTACGATGATATAAAACAGAGAAAATCAGTGCATGTGATTAATCAATCATTACAATATTGCAATTTTTTTTTCCTGTCCTACAACCTATCGTTTCTTACACAAAATAATGTTCATTATAGATTTGATTTATGTCCAGGGTTAACCTGTGATGAGGTGTCACTGAGCCAAAAAAGAACGACCCACTGATAGAGACTACTCTGTGAATTATTACTGAACCGTTTTCCAAGCCACAAAAAAAGAGAAATATGCTGTTACATTTTTTTGCTCGGCGAGTGCGCTTGCCATACATCTGTGCTTGCGAGTAATCGCCCTTCATGTAAAAGTTCAGCACCACAGCTGGTCCCCCTTTCATCGACTCTGAAACACTGTTTATGGGCATGAGGGGTTTTGGCTCCTGTAACGGTTCTGTCCAAACTCACATTAATTAGTATTCCCTTATCAAGCGTTAAATCACAGGATGAACTACTGATATGCAAGGTATGTGGCAGATTTCTCTCTGGATTAAAATAACGAACAGCGCACAGGGTGCCTCCCTTATTCGTCCAAAGCTCCGTCAGTGGTTGCTGTCTGGTAAGCATCTCCAGACACCCCTGAAAGGTCAAAGATCCCCCCTCTTTACTTTTCAGCACCATCGGTGACCCCTGTGTGTGTTATAAGACAGAGTGTGTGTGGAGGTGAAGGACGAGGAGACCGTAGTGGAGAGACATGGGGTGGTGGTAGAAATGAGCTGAGAATGCCGTCGCACCTCTCCAAGTATCCCTGTAAGGTGCCCGGCGGGAGGTTTCTTCATCCATCAGCCTTGTCTGTACATGGGACCGTGACACCGCCAGGTTGTCAAAAAGCCCCTCTGGTGACAGATCGCCCCCGCGGCCCCTGCCCTGCCCGCTGCTTCAGCCTACGCTCCCGCACTCCCATCCCCTCAGTGAGAGTTCGGTATCTGCCAATGCTGTGCATCTATCAAAGTCACCGTGGTAATTTACGCTCTCGGGGACACACTCTGGCGTTTTGGTTCAGCGATCTTAGATGGAGGAGGTTGAATACCAATCAGAGGTCTGACCTTCCCTGGTCGTTCATCAAACGCCGTCCTGTCTCGGGGTCAGGTGTCGCACGCTCCCGGTCGCTTCCCTCAGGGATTAGAGGAGAGTTATGAGCGAAAGGTTAAGGCGAGAGAGAGATTGAGGTAGAGGAGCGTTGCACTTAAAATTCTGACCCGGAGATGTCTAAAAAGATTGTCTCTGTTGTAGACAAATTTATCCCTCTACGTTTGTCTTTTTAAGCTGCCTTGTTACGAGCTGAGACAGTCTTATCTGACCTTTCACCCTGTAATCAAATCATTGTCAAATGTCACATGCTGTTCTCAACGTTGTAGACGAGATGGCGGAGCAGATAGTTCTAGACTTGTGGGGATGTTCTGGCCTGGCTCTGCTTTTTCAATCACGGCAATTGTTTTTCCTGGGCGCAGCCGAGCACTCCTAGTATTCCCAATGAAAAGCCTCTGCGTGTGAAATAGCTAAGTTTTACGGGAGCTGGGAGAGGACTTGAGCCAGGCACATTTTTGATTTAGGAAATAACCAAGACATGATCTGCTGGTTTACAGTTTCTCATCTTTAGGATTTGTTTTAAGCAAGCTATTCACACTGATGCTGTGTATCTCCTGCCTTGTTAGATTGATTGCTTAAAAGTTGTGGACTTAAGATTGGAAAATATATTTACCGTAACCTCTGGGATCTCCTTTGACTACTCATCATCGGGGCTTTTGACAGGTTAACAAACGAGGCTCCGCACGATGCCAACATTTCAACGATACGTTTTTTTTAACAACACCTTTTTGACAAATCGACCCAGTAATGGATGTCTTTACCAGGAAGACTTGGGTATTATTCCGTAGACAGCGAGAGTGAAGCAAGGACAAGAGATAACATTGTGAAATGAAATGCATCCTAAGTGGCTTTCAGCATTCAGAGTCGTATCCCAAAAGGTCTGTGACCCCAAACACGTCACAGTCCCTCTCTGTAAGAAATGCATCGCGGTCCCTCGGGGGATTAAAGAGAAAACCTTTTTGTTTTTCAAAGAGCAAAATAATCTCTGGCCAAGGAGCCGGGTTCCAAGGAGTTTGGATTTCCCTGACTGGCACATTCCCCGTTAGAATTTCGGTTCCATTCTCTATATGAAACACCCTCACCGTTAAAAGAGAAAACGCTCGTCCCACGCAGGGTTTTAAACAAGTAAATATGCCACACGAATCACACGGAGGTGACGCAGAGTAGGGTCTTGACAGAAGCGCCACAAAGAAGACAGACGATCTCGGAGTTGGTCGGTTGCAACATCTGTTACTTTTCTATTCTGGTTTCTGAGGTTAACCGATAAATGCATCAATATGGGATTGTCTTTAAGAAGTGCCCTTTCATCTTACTTTCAAACCATATTGCTTTGAGTTGAAGTGCTAATGATTTGCCTATACGTATGTTAATGGCGCACACATTGTTTTAACCCCCTGGATCACCTTTAAATATGAAAAATATCTCGGTGAAACGTTCCAAAGAGCATAAAACAAAAACATGAGAAGAACTCCTTCCTTCTTTTTTGTCCTTCAACTGCCATTTGTCCCATGTATGAATTCATATGTAGCACCATATGTGGACGGGTGCTCAGTTAATAAGCATTGTTGTGTCAGGAATGTCCATGTGCTTGAGTCAACTGAGATAAGAGAAGCAGTAAATTCAGTTTTCATTACAGTGTTTCTGTTGTGTCTTTTCTACTGGCTGCTGGCTACTTTAGCTTTATTGTAGGCTACTATTAGATGTATTGTACTGTGAATAGTGTTGTAATATTGATCATTGAAAAAGTCACTTCCTAATTACTCAATATCCACTAGGCAACTCACAACAAAACAATCTAGATTGATAAATAGCACTACAGGAATGAGCAAAATATGTGTTTTTGATCTCGGGATGTACCGTCCCTTTAAAATATATTGATACAGTCATGTTTCTCTAAATCACATATTCTAGACCTAAGCCTATGTGTCATAATAGGGTTGCAAATTTATCTTTGTTGGCTCATCAAACAGTTGGTGCGTTTCCTGCAGGCCTTTGATTATGTTCCATCGAAAGGACCTGAATCATTTCTGTTTTCCATAACTGCTCGTAATTGTTATCTCTTATGGGTTGGCGCTCCCAAGGTTCGCTGTGATGGGGTTTCGGCCCACTCGCTGTCGTTAATGTTGCCAGAAATCTTTATGCCTCTAGTGGAATAATTATCTAAAACACGTGCCCTAGTTTGTGTTGAGGCTGTTTAAGTTACAGAGTGTGCTCGGAGCAGATAAATATTGAGGGAAGCAGTAGGCTAATGAACTGAGCGGGCCAAATCCCTTTCGTTGACAGTGTGCAGGAAGTAATGCGGTTGAGGTGAAAAAGCTTGTTACTGTCAGGGGGAATTTTCACTGTCAGCGTTTTAGAGAAGTAACACCGCCTAAAGAGGAGGAGAGAATCTAAATGAACAATATAGTGAGTAAAACTGATGAAATAAGTGTTTGTGAAGGGTCATTTGAGATGGTTTTGAGGCTTTTAACCAGATTTGCTCACATAAAGAAGTATGTGTTTTCGAGGAGAAACAGG